GATCCATTTGATGAATTAATAATTGGAACAGGCTACTGGGTGATAACTGTAGGCAGGTGGGGGGTGGCTGGAGGAGGTAGGTCACTGGGAACATGACTTCAGAGTTTATACTTTAATCCTCAGCTTCTCCTGCTTCTGCTTCCTGGATACCATGAGATGAATTGTTTTCTTCAGCTACAGCCTTCTGCCATGATGTTCTGCCTTACCTCAGGACCACAGCAATGGAATTGACCAACCAGGTAGTGAAACTCTTGAAACTGTGAGCCTAAAATAAATGTTTCCTCTTTTAAGTTGTTCTTGTCAGGTAATTTGGTCATTGTGACAAAAAGCAGACTAACACAGCCCTGCAACTTAACCACCTGATCAAAGGCCAATTTTGTCACTTACCAAGCTTGTGATATTTGATTAAATTACCTAAATATGCTCCAGTTTGCTGGCCTATAAAGTGTAAACTCTAATGGTACCTCATCATAAATGGCACCTCATAAATAACACCTAATGTCATGAAATTAGTTAAGGCATATGAAGACTTAGAACCTTACCTGGTGTGTGTGTGTGTGTGTGTGTGTGTGTGTGTGTGTGTGTATTTATTTATTTTCTAGTGGCTATCATTCACCATGCTATCTCTGTTTTCTGACATATGATAGTAACTCAATAAATATTTAAGGAATAGACAAAAGCATGCACACACAAATAAGAGTCTCCAGAGAAGTCCTGGAAAAGTGCTACAGGACTCAGAGGAAAGGCAGCTGACAGCCTGAAGTCCATCAGAATCAGGACAGGCTGTAGAGAAAAAGTGATAGCCTCAATGTCCACATTGGGAGGAGTTTCAAGGGAGAGAAAGAGTGGTCTCTGCATAATAGTCAGGTTCTTCTTGTTTCCCCAAGAGGACAGAGAACTATCCCATCCTTACTTTAGAAAGGTGCTCCCACAAGGTGCAGGCCTCTGCTCACATTGCCTCTCAGGCTTCCCTCAACCACAGAAGAAACCAAAGCACAACAAATTTTGAATAGCAGAAGCAGAAGCATTTCAAAGTCATGGCATGGCACCCTTGCCATGGGTACAGGAATATGAGAGGCAGCAGCAAGGGAAGAAGAGGGGGAACCTGAGAGTCCTTGTGATCAAAGATCATTTCCAATTTGCTATGGGGAAACAAGGATACCCAAGATCTAAAGATGGGACCAAAGAACTTTTAATAAAATGGCAAAGTTAAAAGGGCTACTCCTCTCTCTCATTCTCTGAACCATGAACTCAACTACTCCAAAGAGCACGCATTCACAACCAGCATTGAGCCACTGAAGGAACATTTCATGAGCCTGCCACACTTTGTAAGGGATGAGGAGGTCTCCAGGGAATTCACCCTGCCTGCAGAAGCAAAGGGCAGCTTTTCTGCCTCTCACTGCTGTCACTCCCTCGTGGAACCTGGATATTCACATGCAAGTGCATGTGCACTGTGCCCCTTGTCTGGGCAATGACAGGTGAATGTGGGATATGGGACTCCTTATTGGGCTTTACCACTCAGATCAGCGAAATCACTGCTGTAGATTACCAGTGAAAAAGAGGGGATATTGTATGGCTCTCTAAAACTGGAGTCCCAGCAATTAGACAACCAAGATGGCAGAGCCAGGACCTGGGGCTGCTGTAAGGGCAAAAAACAGCTCAGCTGTGTGAGCTCTCTGGAGCACTTAGCTGAAAAGGAAAGACTGGCCTGAAAAGAAAGCTTTGGTGACAAGTCTGAAGCAGACCAAAGCACTGGATGAAAGAGAGGAGTAGGCTGAGAGAGCTCACTAGGGGAACAATTAACTGATAAGAGTAAACTAATTGTTATTCATATTAAATTAGGGCACAGGTGATTTGAAGAAAACCTACAGACCCTTCCAGATGTTTGAAGGTTTTGCATTGCAGATGATGCTTTTATGGGACCCTTCAGGGATTCAGATTATGGGAACTGGTCCAGGACCAGAGCAGGGGCAGGACTCTTGTCCTGCTTAACTACACAATAAACACATAAAGGCTTGTCCCAGAGGACAGATCGGAGCTTTGCATACTAAGCATTCTCGTGGTAAGCTTTGGGGTCTTCTGAGAAGAGAGGCTCACTCCTGGCAGAGAATGAAAAAAGAGGAAAAGATAAGTCATTAAGGAAGACCTGGAGGCTGCTCCAGATGTTTGGAGCAAGGGCCAAGATGCAGGGATGCACTAAATTCAGAAGTAGATTGGGAGGATTTTCATAAACCCTCAGAGGCCAAGCAGGAAGACAGAGAACAGTTGTAGAAAGGTGGCAGCTAGGGTTCATGCTAATTGGTGGAGACTGGTGTCCGGGCAAGTGCAGGTACTTATATGTACGCATGAGGAATGAGAGGATATTTGTCTATTCATTTTGGCACATTCATATGCCTCTGTGCATGTTTTGTATCTACACAGATGTTTGTGTATGTGTGTGGCCATACACTTGGGTGTTGCCCAAACTTCCCATTGAAAAAAAATGGCAGGCTGTTGTCTCTTTGCCAAGTCTTCTTATGCTAATTTTAATCTCATGTTATTGCTTTAAGTTGGCTTTAAAAATTAATATTAAAATTCCATAAACATAGCCTAGGGCTAAATTGCAAGACAGGTCCCTAGAAAGGGGTTTTATTATCACTATTGTTCTTACAAGAATGGTAAGATAAAGCTTGTCATCCCTCTTGTTCCAGCTGGTTGAGTTCCCATGAACTAGAGGGAGGGCACTCTGCAGAACACCTGCAGAAAGCATCCAACAGGCCACAGGGTCTCAGGACCAAATGGAACTCCTGACCACTTAATACAACTCCCTGATTTATTACCAAAAGAGAGAGGAAAGTCCTTTGCCAGGTCACCTAAGTGCCTTTTGAACTGGCCTGAAACTCAGGCCTGCTCATTGCCATTGCCCTGAGCTCAGCACTTAGGGGCTGGGACCCATCCTGGGGAAAGAGACAAGAAGTGAGTATGAACCCACACACTGAGGAGATTCTTTCGGTGGTTCTAATTTCCCCATTGGTAAAATGCAGGGCTGGAGCTAGATAATCTCCAAGGTCATTTCTCCTGCTATTTGGTGATTCTGTGGCTGGTTCCAGTTGGCTCTGGGAGGAAGAGTGAAAGGTATATCCTGCACTTGCCTGTGCTCCTCTTTCCTGCTTCTGTAACTGTCCTCCAGTAGATGTGGAGTCAGGGGAGAAGCAGAGTGTAAAGGGATGAAAATATTAGAAAGAAAATATCATCTTTTAAAAGCTTGGTAAAGTCTAAGTTGGATGCTTTCTGCAGGTGTTCTGCAGGGTGCCCTCCCTCTAGTTCATGGGAGCAAGGGTTATTCCAATAGAGAAAAGAAAAGCACAGCAGGATTTGTAGTAATGACCCTGCACTACAGCAAGAGGTACTCAGGTTAGATTTAATGGAACTTCCTTGCTGGTAAGGAGGGCAGTTGTGCAAGGAGGACAGTTGTGTATGGTAATGGACGAAGGAGTGAGAGGAATGGTCAGCTGTTCCTAGAGACAGTAATTGATTATATTTTGAAGTTTGTAGGATGGTGTGGATGGTGGGACCCCTTCTTTCCATCCAGGTCTTGACCAAAGTGAGTGCTTCTGGAGCCAGTATCCTTCCACTCCTACCACACATACCCAATGGAAGGGCCAAGCTCTGTGAATGTGAATGGAAAGGATGCCTGTGATCTCAGCCTGGGTCCACAGTCATTGGCAGTACAACTTGGATTCAGTAAAGCCTAGCTGTAGGTCACTGGATAAGTAAAGGAGGTGGCAGATCCTAAGGGTAAGCACTGACTTCCTACAGAAGCGGGTCATCTGGAGGGAGAAACCAGCCCTGACTACAGGTGTTCTGGAGGACCAACAGGGAATATAAATCTTTCAAGTCCAAGGATAGCTCCTAAGTCTCTGGCAAGTAGAGGGAAGATCGTTTAGAAACCTCTCCACAGCTACATGCCGCTTCCTCTGTACTTGCACACTTCTGCACACATACACGCTGACTCATCGGCCACACAATCCCCCCAGCCCACCAGCTCACACCAGCAGGACAGCCTGGGAAATTCCTAGATGGACTGCCCTCCACCTCCTCCACAATTCTTGGTTCCTTGCACCCCTGCAGTACTCTTTGTAATTTCCAATGCACTATTCTGGACCAGAGTGGGGGACACTGACAGTTGTTTGACATGCCCTTCGACTAGGCAGCAGGTGGGGTCGCCCCACTGACCAGCGCCTGAGGACCCCCCACTAATGCCTCATACAAGTGGCCCTGTGTCCTGGCAAAATATCACCCGCCCCACTAGCCTCCTTCCACTCCCGGGCACCCGAAGCTAAGGAGGGGGCCTCACGCTCCCGGCTCTCTAGCTCTGTCTCTTGGTCCCAGAGAACCGCCCCCCAACAGACCAGCCCGGAAACAATCACCCTTTGAGAAAGGCTGCCAAGCTGGGCGCCAGGAGCAGCCAGGATGGAGGCGGGGTGGGATGGGGGTGCAAGCAGGGGACCCAGCGCGCTTTAACTCTAGAGAGCCAAGGCCCGGGTACGTTGGGCCCCGCCCGCAGCCCCTGCTCCAGAGCCTAAAGCTGGAGCCGCCTCCGCTGGCGAGGGTGTGTGTGTCCCGGGTAGGGGATGGGGGTAGGTGATACCAATCTCGTGGGGTGGGGGGTCTCCTCGTTGGCCTCCCTCCTCGCGCCCCCACTTCAGCTGGCGAGGTTGGTACCGACCATTAGTGGCGCGGGTCCCGCCGGCTCACTGGGGGCGGGGGGAGTGGGGGTGGGGAGCAGGGGTGGGGGCGGGGCGGGAGGCGCTGTCAGAGCCGTGGCTGCACCGGCGCATAGCCGCCACCACCGCTGCCGAGGGGACTGCGCGCCGGCCCGGTCGGCTCGGCTCCGGCCGCGCGCCCGGCCACCTCGCGCTTCCCCCTCCGTCCCCTGGGCCTCCGCTCCGCTCCCCTCCACTCCCCTCCCCACCTCTGTCTCCGGCTCCCCGCCCCCCACCGCGCCTCCCTGCCTGCGCCCTCCCGCGCGCTCCCAGGCTCTGGCCGCCGCCTCGTTGAGCCCAGAAGGAGCCGGGCCGGGGCAGCTGGACCGGACCGGGGCTGCAGGCAGGCGCAAGGACCCTGAGGCTATGAAGTGGCCCCCGGGGGCCCGAAGCGCGAGAGCTCCCGGAGAGGGAGGCGCTCGCGGCCCAAGGCAGCAGCCTGGGGGCGCCGGGGCCGGGGCGTAGGGAGCCGCCGCCCGGGATGGAACGCGCCGGGGACGATCCCGACTCGTCGCCGCAGGTCAGTGTCCCCCAAGCCCTGCGTTCCCGCGGGAGCCGCTGCCACTCACAGAGCCCCTTTATGCGTCCCAATTTGTACCCACGCCATGTCCTCCCGGGTGCGCGCGTGGTGTGAATGTGTGTGTGTGTGTGTGTGTGTGTGTGTGTGTGTGTGTGTGAGAGAGAGAGAGAGAGAGAGAGAGAGAGAGAGAGAGAGAGAGAGAGAGAGAGAGAGAGAGAGAGAGAGATGCATGAGCCCAGGTGGGCTGCTGGAAAGGGGACCGGGACTGGAAGGCCCTGCGCTCCAAAGGCTGCGAAACAAAATCTGAGCACTGCTTGCCCTCTTCGGACCCAGATAAAAGGAAGAGCAGGTTTTCAACAGCTTCTAACAATTGAACCCGCTCTTAGCCCATCAATCCCTTGCCATCTCAGCAGGTGGTTCCAGCTGACCCGGAGAGTCAGGGGCCAACACCCCCACCCTCCACTCCACCCCTGCTCTCTAACAGTCACTCTCAACCGCTCTGCAGCTCCGGGCATTGACAAGTTAACTCTTTTCAGAGGACCAGAGCTGGCAGCTCTGCTGGGGATATTGAGGGGCTAAGAGATGGCAAAGGTAGCAAAGGGTCCTTAAGACCCTCTATTTAGCAAGCAGGAAGGAGGCAGGACTAGTTCATCTCTAGTCCTCTGCACCTGGGCTCAGGCCTGATCCTCCAGAGCCAGAACATATAACTTCAAAAAACGAAGCTGAGAGTTAAGGCAGGAAAAAAGAAAGAAAGAAGACACCAGATCCAACAGTGCCAGGGAAAGGGAGTGACAGCTTTCTACCAAGCAGCTAAGGTCAAGAGACCAACCCCTCCCCCACACACATACATAAACCTGCTCTTGGCCATCTTCCCCTTCCACTTACTCCAGCCCCCTCTCCCCCAGATCTAATCTCAGCCATACACTAGCTAAATGGTTTGTTGTAGAAATTGGAGCTGAATGACTCTTGAGGTATCTATTGCACAGTAGCCTAGAAAGGGCCTTTTGCTGACAGTGGCTAGCCCATAACCCAGTCTACATGGATGCCAGTCTGGTTGCAGTACCCAGTTACTTTAACCTGTGGTACATGGTATGCACTGTTAAAATAATTGGAGGTGGATATACAAGTGCATAGCACTGTGACATTACTGTATGAAAATGGCAGGCACACAGCTTCATAAGTTACTGGGCTCAAGGAAGCCGGTGACTGTGTAAGACTTTAACCCTAGGATTTTCTAATAGTTGTTTTCTGCTCTTATATGTCCCTGCTTCTGTCAAGAGCCACTACAGAGTTGACACATTTTCTCCCTGAACCTGTGTAGTTGGTGACCATTATTGACCTTATTAGACCAAACATCAAGCCTTCCCCTTCCTTCTTATGGAATAAAGACCATCCCCCACAGGAAGATTTCCCTTTCTTCCCAGTCCATGCCCAGAACTCCCAAATGTTATGGAGCTGCAATGCCATTTCCCTCTGTTCCTTTTTGATGGAAGAAAAATGCTTGCTAGTATTAAATAAAGAGGGAAAGTTAATGTATTTGTGCCCCATTCAGCACTGGAGCCAATGCCTTCCTGTTTGCATTTCTGTAGTTAAACCCTAGGTGCTTGGGAATCAGTTGTGTTCAAACATGTTAGAAGCTCCTGTGTTCTGGATTGAATATGCACATGTATGTTCCTGGGTGAGCGGGACTGTTTCACCTGAATTCTGGGACAGGTAAATCACTGAGGGAGAACAGCTCCAGTGAAGAATGAAAGTCCATGGCAGAGACCAAGGGCTCCAGAAGAGAAGCCCATTTCTTCCTCTTAGCCTTCTGGATAGACTTAGATTTTCCCGTAGTTGTTTTTAAGGGAGAGGAAACCAAGTCAACTATGTTTTCCATAGTTTTGGGGCACAGGCTGATGAGGCAGGTCAGGAGATTTGCTTTCCTGACTGGGAAGCCTAGGCTCTGAGGGAGCCTGGTGGTCCAGTGTGGCTGGAAGAGAGGAATGAGCTGGCACACTGATGTCTGAGCACTCCTGTTTTTTGAGAACTGCCTGGAGAAGAAATCTGAGAGTCTGAGACAGGCAGAGAGAAGGAGACAGAGTGAGACCACAGATAAAGATTATAGAGGGAGGCACACAGGCAGAAGGCAGGGCAGGCAAAGTAGGAAGTGGGTTGGGCCAGGTAGGGTCTCTCCTTCCCAAGCCCCCAACATCTGGACATTGGCAGTCATCCTCCCCTGTAGGAGGTCCCTCAGAGTAGACCCAGGGATGTTCTACTGAGGAAGGCTATGATGAATATAAGGGTTCAGAGGGAGGCTCAAAGGCAGAGAGAAAACAGGCCAAGAGCATTGAGAGTGTATACAAACCTTCAAGGAGACCCTGCAGCTGTGCCATCTCCCAGTGCTGAGTGCTCTTCTCTACCTTCTGTCCCTGCCCACCTCTTCTGGTCCTGGAATACAGGATGATGGGGGGAAGGATGTAGGTCTGGGCAAGCCTGGGGAGGAGAAAGAGAAGCCTCCTTTATGTATCACTTTTCCCACCCAGACCTCCAGGAAAGAAAATCTCTGGAGATTCCTTTGAAGGCCAGCAAGGGGACATGAACAGAAGGGTCAGACCAAAGCCAGGCTATCTGACATCCCACTCAGTCCATCTCTGACCACTGACCAGTTGAGTGGACTTTGGAAAAAAACTGAGCCCTCTAAGTCCTGGTTTCTGAATATCTATAAATTGGGGAACCTCTTTCTCACCAGATTTTTTTAGGGGAAGTGCTAGACAAATATTTATTCATTTTACACTTTTTCTTTTTCCCCATTCTCCCAGGATCTGGATAGCTCTAGAATTTAGAGTAGCAATTCTATGTCCAAACCAGCCCTGGGAAGATACATTCTGTCCCACATCCAGCCCTCACCACATTTGACTGGCCATACCTCCAGGCTCTGTGCTGAACCCAGCCCTTCATTATCTAGGACTAAAGAACCCCAAACATTTCTTAGGTAAATAACAACAATAGTATTATTTTCATGTCTACTAATTATTAAGTGTAGTCATTCTACTTTATCAGCCAACGCTTATCTTAAAAAAATAAAATAAAACTAAGAAAATTTACAAAAACTCCAAGTCTGTGACTGCTTATCATCCATGCTTAAACATGAAAGGGTGGTCAGAGATCACTCAAAACTGTCCACTTTCATTGACACTGATTGAACATCTACAGTGTTCTGGCTTCCACGCCCAGTTCTGGGGACATAAAGCGTCAAACCATCCAAAATTAGTGTTTTCTATTTAGCTTTGGAGGGTTATATGAGTTTCTTTCTCTCTCTTTCTCCCTTTCCCACCCCCTGCCTCCCTCTGCAGCTACAGCAAATTTACTTTTCTAATGAGGTTTGGCTCCAGCCAATATTAAAATGAGTCTGTGCTCCTTGCGTACACACCAGCTGACAGCAAGGCAGAAGGCAGCCTCTGCGCCAAGTGCCTGGCAGGGATTAAGGCTTTGCCACCACTGATAAGCCCAGAGTGGAGAGTCTAAGTCTGGATCAAGAGTTGACTAGATTTGAGGACTCACCTTGCCCAAGGGGCTTGTGGGTCCCACAGCTCAGTGTACAGAACCATGGCAGGATATGAGTTTCTAATATGAGCCCTCATCTGTGCACATGAAAAAGGGGAAAGGGATGGCAGAAAAGAGAGAGCAGAGACAAGAAGCTATGGTGATGGGATGAGTGTGACCATGGTGAGAGACCAGCTATGCTGTCCCCACTGGCTTGCTGTATGGCACAGGGTGAACTCCTTCACCTCTTCCCATCTTGCTTTCTTCTTTCTAGGGCAGGTCAGCAATCTGTCCCCTGAGGCCAGGGGTAATACTTTAGGCTCTGGGCTATTCATTTGACCAAGGTTCAGAACCTGTTAGATTAACACTAGGTTAATCCCCACACTCTAAGCAGTCCCCGGCCACTCCAGTGTCCATTTTGAAACATTCTCAATAGTGCAGAAAGTTCTAGTGCATGGAGCTGCTGTAGCCCTTTGTCTTCATAGATGGTTTACCACGGTGGCTAAGAGTGTAGCTATTGGAGCCATACAGACTGGACTCAGATCCACTCTGCTGCTTACTAGCTGTGTGTGGCTTTGGGACTTGCTTAAACTCTGCCTCCAATTTCTCATCTCTAAAATGGGGATAATAATAGGATGTTGATGAGGAGGGAATGAGTCATTACAGTTAATCATGCTAATCTCTCAGAACATATAATAGCAGGTACTTTTTAATTTTTTATTTGAAAATAGAAAGCAATTTGTATTATTCATTTATTTAACAATTCATTGACTTACCGAACAGTCTACTATGTTCCAGGCTTTCCTCCATAAGCATGTGACCTTGCTTCTTGTAACTCTGCCCAATTCTGAACCTCAGTTTCCCCCACCCATGGCAAGAATGTGACAAATAAAATGAGACTAGGAATGTGTCCTCATTTGTAAATTAAAAGCATTGGTCATTGGAAGGTAGACACTATGGAAACTGTATTTTATTGGAAATGTAGTCATCAAAAAGTATTTCTTAAGTCCCAGAATTGAAAGAAGCAAGGTAAGTGCCAATCAGATGCCATGACTTCTTGCTGAGTAGAGGTGAAGGAAGGGATTTGAGGGCACTGTTTAGGCTCATCCCTTCTGGTCTTGAGGAGAAGAAAACCAGGAGGCTATGGCCCTGAGCTCAGCAGAGGGAAGCAGCAGGGGGAGGCCCTTGGCTGGACAGAACTTAGAGCTGTCACATGCCCAGCTGACTGTGCAGCTGGAGCCCCAGGTTATGGTCTCTGCTGTGTCAGCAGCTCATTGTGTGACAGAACTTATGAAGCTTTGGTTTTTTCATCTAAAATATGAAAGGCATGGACCAGTGAATATTTCCACACCCAAGAAAATTATACCACTGAGCTTCTCCATAAAACACCTCAGGAGCAAGAAGCAAGAGACAAGCTGCCAGAGGTGAAAGGGAGGGAAAAAAAATGGATGTAAGGAGCAGGTACTGGTCATGGG